TGGGGCTGGGTATGATGCTCCATGCTGGTAGCTGGTATGGGCAAGGGGATGCTGAGCCTTTCTCAAGGTGGAGATCAGCTGTCACTCAGAGGAAAAGGAATCTGGTGATGGACAACCCAACACTTGGAAGGACATCCCCAGGGATGAGAAGTGGTGGCTTTTTCCCCTTATAGGAGGGCAAGGAATGGCTGGAGCCCACAGCAGCCTGGCTCCAAGCAGGTCCCTGCAAGTGCTGCCTTGGCCCCATGCCTGCATCTGCCAATAAATATTAAGGAATTGATTTCCTTTTGTTTGCCTTGACAGGACAAGGCTCTTTTTATGAGACAGTAAATGTGATCTCGCTCTGAGCATGGCCAGAGTTTTAATTGTATTTGTTGTGCTTTCACTTATTGTTTTATGAGTTTCAGTTCTCTTCCTTGCTGGTGCAGAGAGCAGCCCTGGGGGACTGTTTGATTTCAGCTCCAGCAAAAGGTTGGAATTTTTTAAACATTTTGTTTATTTGCTTCTGAGGAGCTGAAGTTTGGGTCTTGTGTCTGTGTCATAAACAAACGTGTGTGTGTGGATGGATAGGTCTGAGTCCTGTTTTGGGATTGTGTGCTGGCCCTTTGAAGAAGAGCATTTAAGATGAAGATCAGGGAAATATGGAAGGGCGAACAGAGGCTTGAAATCAGAGGAGGAGGGGATTTTGTATATAATATATATTGGAGTTTAATGAGGTCTGCTTCAATGCTGCTATACAACGCATGGTGACCCACTTTACCAGGAGAGCTTTTTTTTTTTTCTTCCTAGTTATGGGTCATATACAGTTCCTAATTAAGCAAGTTAATTATATGGCTCCTTTATATCACACAGGCAAATGCGGACGGCACAATTATCTCTCGCAGTGATCATTTTTGATCAGAAATGACGTTCTGACCGATAGCTCCTGGATGCATGGCTGGAGGGAGGGGGATTGCTCTGGTCCTGTGCTGTGTGCATGGCCTGGTGTACGATGGATTTGTCCTTTGTGGAAACCACATGGAGGGAGCGTAGTCCTGGTCCTGTGCTGCTCCATCCTTCCCTTCGTGGGCTGGCAGAGCCCCTGCAGCAACCAGGGTTATCTGTCCCAGTGCTCAGCCATGCATGCTGCTAGGCATTAGGGGAGGCATTCAAACCCGGATCTCCTTCAGTGCAATTTAAACCTATTATTTCTTGTTTTATCCCCAGTGGACGTGGAGAACAGCTATTATACTTCTCTTTGCTGCAACCTTTTACATATTTGAAGGCTGTTATCACGTGTCCCTGCAGCCTTCTTCTCTCAACACAAAGCATAATTCTTTCAGTTTTCCCCTGGAGGTCATGTTTTCTACACCTTCCATCATTTTTGCTACTTTGGAGAGGTTACTGTGATAGCAAGCTGGAGTTTTTGTTGTTCTTCACCTGTCTGCCTTGAAGCATTCATTACGTTACAGATCTGTATGAAGTGACCATTATCTTATCTTCTCTAATCTGTGGTTATTTATAAAATCTGCTATATTCCCGAGCCTGCATTTTATCAGAAAGTGTAGCTCTTAGCCTTGATAAATAATTTACCATTATGATATGATCATGCAAACAAGGGCTCCTTAAGCTATTTATTATTATTACATGCTTTATTTTTCTTAAGTAACAAGTTGTCCATGTAACACCGTAAACGAGCCAGAAGATTCATAGGCATAGACTAAAACAATAAATAACTTATTTCATAGTGCTTCCAGACAGATAGGAACCAAACCACCATGCCAAACTCCAGTTTAGCCACAGGGAAGAGTGGCGAGTAGAAAATAAGAGACATGACATGTTTGATGCTCGGAACGCACAGAAGCTGTTTAAAATATTAGCAAATAGATTCGGAATATCTGTAGTGTGTTTGTAGCACAGCCTGATTTATCCACACAAGAATCTGTTGCACTGCTCTTTAGATGTTAAGTTTCAGAGCAGCTGCAGAAATATTTCATGTAATGCTTTTAGATCTCAGGTCTGTACAAAAGGACTTGCCCCAGACTACCTTTGACTATTATTCTACATTTTTACAGTACAAAACTGGCTTGATTCCTGTGTCCTCCGCCCATTCTTCTGCCAAGTGGAAGATAAACCTAAATCTTAAAAACTGTACTCTTTTCCTACTCCAGTTTTTTTTTTTTTTTTTCCCCTTTAACCTTACTTGGAAAATCCTCTGCTGAAATCAGTGAGAATTCTTCCAAATAAAGCCATTCATCAGCATTATACATCAAAAACTCAACCTCTTTACCTACTTAGCAGCAAAAAATATATGATATTGCCAAGAGAGATTAAAAAACACATTGAAGTGCAAGTAGCTGCCTTATGGTTACAGATAGAAGTTGCAGATAATGGTATATATTTGAGTGTCAGAGCAGTAGTCAAACCTATAGAAGTGATCAGTGACTGCTTGTATCAGTGATGTTTTTGAAGTCTGCCTCAGGCTCATGAAACAAGACTGGTGCTTGTCTGAGATGTGGAGGAGGAGGGCAGTCGTGTGCTTGGGGGGAGCTGGGTCTCATCTGCGAGTGCCAAGAAGTGTTGGAAATGTAACATCTGAGGAGCTGTGACTGTGTTGTATGAGTTAATGCTGCCCAGATTTTTACTCCCATGCCCTTCCCACCATCAACATCATTAAAAATGGGGGAAGCTTGCAGATGCCCTCAGGTCTAAGTTGCGTCTTTAATCCAGTTATACCCTGTTGAGGATACTGGGGAAGAATTTGCTGAATGGTGCATGTCAGGTCCTTACCAACTGTGGATAGAAGTACTTAATGAAATCTTGAAAGCTAAGACACTGCAACTGATGTGGTTTTCTCTTCAGGACTCTGATGATTTTTTTTTTTTCCCAAGACCTCCATGGATCATTGCAAGAACAGAATATCTCTATATGGATTGTTAGCCTTGTGGTGTCCTGACTGCAATTGCTTGGATTTTCCCATTTTTGCAGAAATAGGAAGAGGCAGAGATGGTCATGGAGCATCAGAGTTTGACTTCTGGTTGTCGTAGATCTTGCAAATGCCTTCCACCTTTGATTATAGCTGGAAGACTGAAAGATGGAGTCAAATCACAGTACCCAGTATCTGCTGGGGACTGGGAGTGCAAATATGGATCAACTGGGACATGGTGGCTTTTGCCCTAGAGATGTTGGACAGGTTTGAGCTGTGCAACTAGACATGATAGAAGCTCAGCTGCAGGAAAAAAAAAAAAAAGAAAAAGCAATGGAAAATGTAAAGATCAGACTGGGAACCTGGTTATTGGCATGGAAATTGCCATCTGAACAGCAGGCAGTAGTTGCTGGTGGTGCTCAGTTTCACAAGTACCCAGCCACCTTGGTCATGCCCTACTCCTTCAAACAGAGCCACATCCTTCTAATGTGCGTGCACCAAAGGGACACCAGTGTGTCTTTATGGTCTCTACTCAAATCATTTACACAAATTGGTACTCAGATGATATTTTCATGACTTGTTGTTATGAAGTGTTCCTTGAAGTGCGGAGGTGGCCCCTTCCCATCACAGCCCAGCCAGCAGAGAAGACATGCACCACACAAAACCCAGTCCTTGGGGTTTGCATGTAAATAATTGCCAATGCGGGTGAACAGAAATCCTTCAAAGCACAAATTATCTGTTTACTTTTTGTGTTTGGAGAAATATGGCGTGTGTAGTCCCAACAGAGGCATCTTGTGGCATGAGTTGAGTTTTGCCTTTGCTTCTCAGAAGCTGTAAGCCATGTGGGTCCTAGGATTAACTTAAATAAAAACAAGAACCTACCAGAAAGAATTCACAATAAAGAGAGAGATCTTTTCCTTGTGACTAAGACACCTGCCATGGCTGCCAGGACTCTGCTTATTACACAATAGCTTTATTATATCCCACTTGGAAGAACAAACAATACTTGATGCCTCAAAAATGAGCAGCCTTTAGATGAGGTTAATGCAGGCAGAGTTATTGTGTGCAGCCTGTATTCACCCTGTCCTCCCAGAGACTCCAAAGAGCAAAAAAATGGCCTGAAGACTCCCCTCTTTGTTGCTAGTGGTACATAATAAAGTAATTGTGTAATTAGAAGTAGATTGCTGATGGGAAAGAGGTATTTCCAGTGTGATGTAGGTAAAAGACAGGCCTCTCTGAATAGATTTGAAGCCTTAATGCAGCACCTCTGTTCATCATTGCTTGACCTGCTGGAGGTCCCTGGCAGCTTCCAGGCAGGAGATAAGGAACATCTTTAGCTGAGTGTGTTTTTAACCCCTTGTGAAAGTGTAAGGCAGGTTGCATTGTGGTCTCTTTATCACCCAGCTCCTCAGCATCTTACTTTTACGCAGCATCAAAGGCTGCAGCGGGGATTAAAAGGTTTTGCCTTGTGATGGAGATGTTTGTGTTCTGTGGGGGATGGAAGTGGGTGCTGTGAGGCAGGTGGACCAACCTGGGAGAGCAGCTGGTGGGTGATGCCGGGTTCTGGCTCTGGCTCCTGTGTGCGTGCAGGGCATGAACTGAGCAGGATCTGCTGCAGTACATCATGGATCCCTGTAGGTATCATCCTGATCAAAGGGCTCTGTGTGCAGGGCAGGGTGGGACTGGAAGAGTGGAGACAAGGTTGGTGATGTGCTGAGCAACAAATGTAGGAGTGTGGGTTTGGAGCAGAACAGATAAGTTTGGGAGTAATGTTTCTCTTGTGTAAGCTTGGTATTTTGTCAAGCTCATAACAGCAGAGTGTACAGGCACCAGAGTGACTGCTCTGCCACGTGACAGCACAGGGATGACTTCGTGCAGGGTTCACCTCTGCTGCGTTGCCACCTGTAGTTTACCTTAACCCCTGCGGAATTGTCAGTCTGGTACTTTGGCACCAACAGAGAAAATGTGAGATATGTTTCCTTCGTCGTCATGGGGTGGGACAGTAGGATGGCGGACCCACAGCAATTCATGATCAGCGGGGCTTTTGTGTCACCATTCCCATCTCGTGTCTGACGGATGTGCCTGGTATTCGCAGGTCCCGTGGCAGTGATCAGCGGAGAGGAGGATTCTGCCAGCCCGCTCCACCACATCAACCACGGCATCACGACGCCTTCGTCCCTGGATGCTGGCCCAGACACGGTGGTGATCGGCATGACCCGCATCCCCGTCATCGAGAACCCCCAGTACTTCCGACAAGGTCACAACTGCCACAAGCCAGACACGTGTGAGTGCCCGAGCCGGCTGGAGCCCCCGCGAGCACCAGGGGATGGGCTGGGGGATGGGGGAAGGAGGGTGAGGAGAAAGAGGCTAAGATGACGAGGAAGGAGAGAAGCTTTTTTATTGAGGAGAGTGGGTCTTGGTATGGCTCAGAAACCAAAGTGAATCTCAGGTCTCAGAAATCACAACATACATGTAGGTGCTTCAAAGGAGACTTTCCACCCTCACCTTCACCTCCCTTCACCCTCTCTCCACCACCCACCAGTCACCTTCCCCCCTTGCCTGAAAGTGCCATTCGAAGCTGGGCTCTGCCTCGCTGTGTCCAAGGCATGAGCAGGAGCTGTGGGGTCAGACATGACCCCATCCTGGCCGGGGAAAGGACCTGCCTCCCCTTTCTCCTCCAGCAGTTTCCCAGCTGTGGGGCTGCCTCCTTGGGACAAGGACAAGCTCAGGACACGTGTCCGTAGATGGGCAGATGTGTGGTGATGAAGAATGGTAGGCTTAGAAGCTGAAGGACTTGTTTTCACAGCTTCTGTAAAGCTTTTCTGTTTCTCTGTATAAATCTGGGTTGTGAGCTTGGCTTATTAGGATAGCAGGTGGTGGTAAAGTGGTCCTCTGTTTTGTGCTCCTAAATTCTGAGTGTGAAAGTGCTTGGTAAAAGGATGGTTTTCTGGGAGTCCCTCTCTGTGGGCTGGGTGCAGCCGCCTTGACATGTAGCTCATAGTCAGTAGTTTAGTTTTTCTGTACTTTTTAGCAGCTCTGAGATGCAATGCAGGAGGTGCAGATAACATTCCTCAACTGTTATTGCTCATCCACTTGGCATTTCTTGGTTCCAGGCAGAACCAGATCTAATAACAAAAAAAAAAAAAAAGAGAAAATAAAACAAAAATACCCCAATAATTCCACATCTCCCATGGTCCAGCTGTAAGCAAGGAATGCCACACCGAAATCGCCTCCTGCTCTCCCCTTTGCTGACTCAGGAGTGCAGGAAACATAACTCAGCCCTTGGAAGCACAGCTCTGGGAGGATGCCAACCTCCCACCTGCATTAAACCTTCTGCTGAAGGAAAAGGACCTTCTGCTCCATCGGGGGGGTCGCTGGGGCAGCCCCCCAGGTGCTGTGAGCTGGCCCCAGCTCCTGATTTGTTATCACAGCTCATCAAGTGCCAGAGTGATGGGGTGTATCCAATTAACGCACCCAGCTTTCCCTTTGATTTTCATTTTAATGCACTAAATTTGGTCTGTTTGCAGAGAAGGGGGAGGAGTGCAGTGATTAGGCAGGAGCAGAGAAGCTGAGTGCAGCGTGGTTTTGCTGCGCCGTTAATTACGTATTTTACATTGCTTATAACACCTCATCTCAAAAATGATTTACAAACTGATGGCTTGGGGGGGGGAGGAGGGGAGGAGCGTATATATATTTTTTTCTCTTTCTGCACTTTCATTTTATGCGTCGACCATTTTGGCATGTGGGTACTCTTGCAAGGGTGCAGCAGCTAAGCTGAAAACACAAAAGACTGAATTTTGCACAGAGCAATTACCCCGTGGGTCTCGTTGTAATGGGGTGCAGGGGAAGATGGCCTTGGAGTTTCACAGAGTTGTTTGATGAAGAGCTCAACATGCCATGAGGGACACCTGGAGCTGGAAGGAGCCACAGGGGGAATGCAGTGCTAGCAGTGACTGTGCACATCCTGGAAATCCACAACCAATGGCTCACTTCTGTGCACTGGGTGTCCTGGGGCTCGGAGGGTGATGAAACCAGATCTCAAAGTGAGGTGCTACATTTAAGTGCTAACGAGTCAGATCACAGCTGGATGCTGACAGACTGAAAACTTGTGGGTTTTTTTGGAATTTCTTGCCATTCGTAGGACAAAAACAACAACAGCAACCAGGGCTTGGAGACCTCGGGCAGAGTTGGATTTGGAGTGTGTCGTATTTTAGTCCCTGAGACTTGGACAAAACTTCTGACTTCACTGGTGGCTTTGCTTGAGGCTGGAAAGTTTCATAATTCACCTTTTAAATTAAGCATGCTTCGGGGAGCTTTTGCTGTAAGGGCTTTGTTTGATCTGATGTGCTCTGCTCAACTTAAACCTGAGCTGGAGAATATTTGTTGCTCCTGTTCTCCCTATGGTTTTCTTGCTGAAGGGTTTTTACTTCCATTTGTGCAGAACCTGGACACAAACATTTCTTCATTGCCTGCCATTTGGAGAGAGAAAAACTTTTTTGGTCCAAAAATGCTTCAGCTGAGCCCAGATTGATGGAAGTGTCCCCTCCCAGAGCCTTGCCCATATGCATGACTAGCACTCTCAAACAAAAGCTTTTCATGGCATCCTGGGTTTCTACTATGTATACACGTGTTGCTAAAGCAACATCCTCAGCAAATAATTTCTCCTTCCCACACTCAGCTTTTCTCCTTCCTTCCTCGTGCAATTGTCCCTGTGCTCTTGGACATCATCTGGGTTGAGGACATGCTGATACCCATTACTGCACTGCAGTGAGAAGAGCAAACTCTATATGCTTAATGCAGTATTAATAGTACATTGATGTGATATAGATTTCTGTCACCCTCTATACTACCAAACATTGCTTATCACACAGGGATGACGGATGTTTATTCCCAACCACTTAGCTCTGCATAATGGAATTGCAGCTGAAATATGGAAAGCAGCTCCCTGCCTGTGATTCTGTGCCTAATGCTGTCCTGTGGACCCTTCTCCAGCTAACATGTCATCCTACATGGGGATTTGGTATCCTCCTGTCAGTGGGATGAAGGACTCAGGATTCAACTCCCAGCTGGCACAGGCTGCTGGGGGAGGTGATGGAGTCACTGTCCCTGGAGGTGCTTGAGGACTGTGGAGATGTGGCAGTGAAGGACGTGGTCAGGGGGCATATTTGTGGTAGGTGGACAGTTAGACTAGAAAATCTTAGAAGTCTTTTCCATCTTCAATGATTCTATGATTCTCTTACCCTCTTGCTGCTACTGCCTCATTTAGAGGAGTAGCAGGGATGAGCTGGGCTCAAGATCCTCGCCCCTTCCTATTTAAAGGCTTTTTCAAGAGCCATAGAAGAAACTGCGCTGTCCTGCTTTCTCATGACAACATGTTGAGTCTTTGGGAAGATACTGTCCCCATCCTCACACTGTAACTCCAAGGCAGCGCTGGAGTTTGCAGCCAGTCTCATTTCAGCCACCCTCAGCACCACCTGGAAGGTTAGGGAACCTCTTCCCTGATTCTCATTCCCTAACAGTGAGGACAGAATAACCACAAAGCAATGTCGGGGGCATAACCTAAAATAGACCGTTCCTCCTCTTCTTTGGCAAGTGGAGGAACAACAGAGTGGCAAATCTTCTTGGCAGATGTCAGCAGGACAAGCGACAGGTTGTGAGGAGTTTGCACCTCTCTCTGTTTGGAAATAGAGGAGAGAAGTACAGGGCTTGTTGTAGAGCAAGCACTGTGGACAGAACATCTTAGGATGAAGCCATGCCTTTCTCCATGCTATCCCAAGGTCTAGGGGGTTGATAATGGAAATAAAGACCCAACATACCCACGTTTGTGCCCAGAAAATGGCCACTGGTCTTTGTGGACAAGCAATGTCAGCTCACTGCAGCAAACAGCACGTGGCTGGTGGAAAAAAAGAAAGAAGCACTGACTTCAGCTAAGTCCACGAGGCAGTCTTCATGCTGCTGGTAGGACAGCATCACCATATCAGTGCTTCTTGGCAGTAAATAGGAAGTTTGTAGTTTAGCTCCATCTCCAACATTCAGAATTTGGATTTGCAAAGTGGGTAATTGTGAGTTACTGGAGATTACTTTTGGTGAGACTGGTAATATTTCTGAAGAAACGCTTAGGAGGCTTGCTTTACTTCAATAGTAATAATTAATTATCAGCACAGTGCATCACATGCAGATTTGCTCTTGGGTCAGAGCTCTGAAGTTTATCCTAACGTCACAATGCAGTTTTGCAGTGTTTCTATTCCCTGGTATTTCTTGTCAGATAAACGAAGTCTCCTTGAGAATGACACAGATCTGTGAAAATAATCCAGATTTCAGTGGAGTAAACAAAGCTGGGTGGCAGATCCTTTCCAGGTCCCTTTCTGCCTCCAAGGGATGATGCTCAGCTCCCACCAGCGCTGTGGAGCGCAGCTGTTGGGGGTCAAGGGGTTGGTATAGGGGTTTTGGGGTCGGTTTTTGTTGCCAGATGAACAGCACTGCCTGTGCTTTCCTCTTCCAGGACTGGCTCAGCTCGGGGATGCCATGCGTTCCCCACGCGGGTGGAGCAGCCGTCCTTCCATCGAGTCCTAATGAGGGTTTTTTTTTTCCAACCTCATTTATTACAGGCTGCCCTGACATAATTACATATTTGAAGTTAGTAATTACATGTATTCATGCTAATTAAGTAATTAGATATAATTACACTAACTGTAAATACATGGTAATCGGCTAAAAAGAAGTACTTCAGAAAAAAAACAAGGCAAATCACACAATAAAAGTGCCATCAGCACTCTTTCACTCAGTACCCTGTCTTTATCTTGTGTTTTCAATGCAGTTTAAAGGGAACATTGTGGTCATTTCAAAAGTCATATTTTTCAAACAAATTGATTTCCTTACCTTTGCTTCTAATAGGACTTGAACACAAAATGGGAAAGACACTTACAACCCCAGTTTATCTTGCCATGGTCAATTCTTTTTCTTCATTTAGCGTGTTTTATTCATCCTGGGCATGAGAAGCTGAAAAGTCTGCAGCATTTCTGTTTTTGGTCAGTTCATGTTCCTATTTCCATCAAAAACAACAAAACCAAGCCACAAATGTTTTCTGCATTCTTTTTTTTTCTCCCCTGAAAACAAAACCAAAACCAACTACTGGTAATGGGAATGTGTTTTGTTTTATTTTATTTTATTTTATTTTATTTTATTTTAGATATGTTCCTCCCTTCTCCCTCCCCCACAGGAATAAGAGGAATTGTCAGATATTATTTTGTGAAATATAAATGCGGAGCCAAGTGTGAAGTGACA